TCAGTAAATGTGTTTAGTCAATAGAAGTAGCAATTTGTGGGTGAACAGAGGCCGTGTGTCTGTCCTGGTGGCCAAGGAGGGCGTCCTGAGCCGGAAAGAACAGGTCAGACAAAACAACACCCAGGATTTTGAGACCAGATTGCTTGAGCAGCAGCGGGAAAGGAGAAACTCAGTTCAGACTTTAAGACCAAGAGAAAGTTAGACTGCTTTGGGAATTACTCCCAAAGAATCCTGGACAGGGCATGCCCAGGAGAAACAGGAATATACAGATTGGAAAGCAGCAGTGAGGAAGGTCTCTGGAGGTGCGTTACTGTTGGGAAGCACTTCACCGAAATGTGCACCCAGCTCTGTGGCTCACAACAATTTACTTACAATGGGAAATATATCTGGTCTACCCACGTTACAGAGTTTCTGTGAGTCTTCAGACAGTAAAGGGTCTGTAAAGTACCTTGTAATCAGAAAGCATGGTGCAAGGTTAACAGGAGTGTGTTTACAGTTGTTGCTTTCAGCCAGCATTACCTGTGCCCTAGTTTGTCCTCACTGAGGTCGAGGAGCTCTTGCTGTGCTGATTAGCATCATGGCCAGAGCACGTTGCTCACTTGCTTACTGACTGTGGGGAAGAGATTGCTCAGGGAAGGAAGGGCTGCGGGTTTCCAGTGGTGGCCACAAGAGAAACTCCCAGCCTTCCGAGGCTGCCAGTGAGAGCCGCCTAAACCAGCAGCTCCAGAGCTCGTAGGTCACCACAAAAGTGAGCAGATGAGTCAGACAGGGTTCCAGAGCATGTTTGTGGTGTGAGGCACTACACTTGGGCCCCATGGTGGTCAGGCGAGAATCATGTCTGTCTAGCTACCTCGGGCATGGGTGGGAGAGGCTGGGGGTGGGTCACCTAGCTCCCAGGTGGAAGTTTTTCTAACTGGAGATGCATCTGGTACTGTGTGGGGAGACTGTGGAAGAAACCACCATGGGGTGAATAGGGAAAGATTGAGGACTGGTTCATGGAGATTGGTGTGGTCACGGGGGGAGAGGGAGGGAGGCTTGGGGCTGACCCAGGAGGTGGCAGGATGAGGCTGGGGGCACGGTGTGCTGATAGGAGAGGCGGGATTGTTGTGCCATCGGGAGAAAGGGCCTCGCCAGAAGAGTGTTTGGGGTGAGAAGACAAAAACAGGTTTGGGTTTCTGTCGTCTGTGACATTTGAGGGTGGGGGAAGCCCCAGCTGGAACGTGATTCTTAGCCAGAATGGCACCTGCTTTATCTCATGATTGAATTTGTTTCCTTTCATACAAGACTGAAGCTTTGGCTACTAGGAAGAGTGAAAGGAAGAACTCTAGGATAGTAGAGTCTCCTGTTGGTAGGAAACCCTTTGAGCATGGATCGCCTTGTGGTTCTTTCCCCTTTGCTCTCCCACCACCCTTCCCGCATGAATGCCGGACAGATGCCGTGTGCCGGACAGATGCCGTGTGCCAGACATCATGCTGAGATAAGGGATAAAGGAGTGAGCCAAACGAGCAGATGCCGATCTCTCATGGTGTTTGCAGGCTTTGGGTGTATGCAGACATTCAACAAATAGTTGTACTAGTATAGCCACATGAAGAGAAATAGAGAGTACTGTGAGAGTATCAAAGACGCGTATTTGATGTCGTAAGAGAGGTAAGAGAAGCTTCCTGGAGAGATCTGAACAATGGGTAGGAGTTCACCACACCGAGGGAGGGGAAAGGTGCAGGAATGGTGGGGAAGGTGTTCCTGGGGGAAACCTTGTGTGTGGAGGCTCCAGTGAGAAGGCGAAGTAAAATAAAGCCAGTATCTTAATTAAGGTAGGTTAAACTGCAAGTGTCAGAAAACTCCAAAAAATACTCTCTTGAGTAAGAGAAAAGTTTACATGTGTTTCATATAAAAAAGCAGCAGTCTAGAGCTGATCTAACGTGTCCAGGTTCATCAAGGGCCCAGGCAACTTCTCTGTTTTATTGCTTTGCCCGACTCAGGGTGTTGGTTCCATCTTATGGCCCAAGATAGCTGCTGTAGCTCTACCCATCACCTCTGTATTCCAGCCAACAGGAAGAAGGAAAGGTCAGAAGAACACATTTCATTCCCTTCAGCAGAAACTTCCTGGCAATTGCATATATCACCTCGGCTTATATCATATTAGCCAGAATTTGGTCATATGGCATATCTAGCTGCAAGCATGCTTATAGCAGAACTTCCAGATCAGTGTCGAAAAGGAGTGGTGAGAGGGGATAGCTTTGCCTTATGGCTGATCTTAGTGAGAAGGCTTCTAGTTTCCCACCATTAAGTACGATGTGATGTTAGCTATAGATTTTTGTATATGTCCTTTATCTGGTTGCGGAAGTTCCCATTTATTCCTAGTTTTCTGAGAGGCTTTTTTTTTTTTTAAATCACGAATGACTGCTAGATTTTGCCAAATGCTTTTTCTGCATCTATTGATATGATTGTGTGATTTTTCTTCTTTTCTTCTTTACCAGTGGATGTGATGGGTTATATTAATTGATTTTTGAATGTTGAACCAATCTTGCATACCTGGAATAAATCTCACTTGGTTGTGGTGTATAATCCTTTTTATACATTGTTAGATGTGATTTCCTAATATTTTGTTGAGGATTTATACATTTATAATCATGAGAGGTATTGGCCTTTAGTTTTCTTTTCTTGTGATGTCTGTCTGCTTTTGGTATTAATGTCATGCCGGCCTCATAGAATGAGTTAGGAAGTATTCCCTCTGTGTCTGTCTTCTGAAAGGGATTGTAGAGAATTGCTATAATTTCTTTCTTAAATGTTTGTTAGAATTCACCAGTGAACCCCTCTGGGCCCAACATTTAAAAAAAAAAAATCGTCATCCAAGGATATGTTATTATTGATTTTTAGAGAGAGAGAAAAGGAGAGAGAGAGAAACATAGATGTGAGAGCAAAACATCGATTGGTTGCCTCCTGTATGCGCTCCGCTCCGCTCAGGGGTTGAACCCGCAACCTAGGTATGTTCCCTGACCAGGAATTGAATCTGCAACCTTTTGGTGTACAGGACAGGATGATGCTCTAACCAACTGAGACACCCAGCCAGGGTATAACTTTTTTCTTTTTTAAACGTGGAGGAAAATATTTTAATAATCCCCCAAAACCAAACCCTACTCTAGTGTGTCTGATGGTCAGGGACACTTTATGTGCGTGTGTTTAAAAATGGACCCAGTGGGTCTCTGTGAAGAGCAGCTATCCCATCACTCAATCGGAGTGTGCCCTGTGCATCGCTTTCCCCTTTCTTTGACCTTGGACTGACTTGTATAAGCCATGGCTGGCACTGCAGCCCATAAAGTGGGGTCTGCCCTGTCCTGGACTGTGGCAGGACACAGAACATAGACTCTAGATGAGGAGCCCTTGTCCTCAGCACTGGGGACATGGCTTCTCTGGTTCCCTCGTCTCTGTGTAAGACCTTATCCTTTTGGTTTGTTTCCGGTGAGTGTTTGCTCCCACCCTAGTGTGGAGATGGGCAGTGTAGTGATTGAAGGAAAACTCTCCTGGGTAATGGTGGCACGGTCAGGAGGAGGGCGAGTCAAGCAGATTATAAGCCTTTTTGCAGATGTGTTTTGGCTGGAACTACAGCCCAGCCAGAGCTTTGCACGCACATACAAAAATATAACTGAAAGTGATTTTTCATTTGTGCTTAATCTGTGATCATGGCAAATTCATGACAGGAGGCTAAGAAACCCAGTTCAGAAGGGCTGTCCAACGTGCGTAGCAGTCGCCGCTGTGTGCCCTCAGGGTTGCGGAGGAGTAGGAGACTTGTCTCTGGAGCTCTGGGATGTGGACTACACCAGACATCCCACTGTGGCTGGGGAAGGCAGGAGGGGGCCAGCACGGGGCACACCTGCCCACGCCCATGCCCAGCTTGAGGGACTTCAGGGAATCGTACATTCAGTACCTTCTGCCTTTGCTGCCGTGACATCTTTCTTCACTGCCTCTTAGAAAGCAGCTGGCCCCGGTACAGTGATACAGAGGGCGGCAGCGATTATTCGAGAACAGATAACTATTATCAGCCTACGTGACTTCTGTGGGTTCCGAAATAGACTTAGCACGCTGGGCAGGATGTCTGCTTAGGGTATCGCAGTGGGGGTGTCAGACCGCCGGGCTCTGAGCTGCATTTGCATTTTAGGCCAGAGCTGCAATCCTGGAGAGTTATCTTTATTATGTAGAAGTTGGGAAGAACCAATTGGAGTGGCTTGGAGAGCTTGACGCTTGAGCCTACCTTTGAGGAAGATCTGCAGTTGTCTCGGGACAGAGACAGTGAGGGCTATAGGAGGTAAAGGTCAGGAGGAATGGGTGCACCTAGGATTTCAGGTCTGGTTGATGAGAGCAAGGGAATGATGAGGCAGCAGCCAGTATGACCAGGGTTCTACTTTCTCTGTTTGTGGCTTTGCTCACATCCTACCTCTCTTGGGAGGGTTTTCTGACCCCTGGCCCACACTTTGCTCTACAACTCTGGCGCCATTGGCCTCCACTCATTGCATCTTATTTTGTATTGCTCTTTACATTTGTTTTGTCTCGTCTAAGTAGCGGAAGCATTTGAAGGGTCAAGACTTCATCTTATCCTTTTTGGGGGTGTAATTTTGTGTTTAATATTATATATGCATAATACTATTGGCACTTTAGGTGATTTATTTCATTTATCTCTGGTTTTCTTCTAAGAGAAGGAGGGAGAATTAAACACAGATGTCATGTGGGAGGTTTCCTCCATCCAAAGGAATACATTCATGACTCGTGCATCTAAAAGGGAATTTAAATAATCAAATGCACATCAAAATCATCCAAAAGGAATTTAGGAGATTGGAGTTATAGAATAGGCGAGCATTTTTTTGCCATTTAGTTCTGGAAACAACTTACTTGGAAAGACTCCTTGGGTGGGCTGGCAGTGGCCTGACCATCCTGAACAATTCATTGAATTGTGGCACAATTGCTTGTGGCTTCTGACGGGTTCGTGTTGGTGATTCCCTCTGCAGGTCCAGAGCCCAGTGCCCAGTGCGAACTGTCGCCGGTCAACGCCTCCCACCCAGTCCAGGCCTTGATGGAGAGCTTCACCGTCCTGTCGGGCTGTGCCAGCCGAGGCACAACGGGGCTGCCACAGGAGGTGCATGTCCTGAACCTCCGGTCCGCCGACCAGGGGCCCGGCGAGCCGCAGAGAGAGGTAGGCACAGGCACCAGCTTTCTACCCACTGCCCCTCTGAGTCTGTGTAGACACTTTTCTGAACAATTCCCTTTTCTTCCATTCTGGGCCTAACCAAGATGCCCATGTACCAACCTACGTGGGGAGGGTATCAACATACCCGAGAGAGAGAAGGATTTCCAGTAACAGGTTGCTCTCTGGACCTGGCAGCCCTAGGACTTCTCTCTTTAGAGATTTTTTTCTAACTTTCCTGGCCCCTCCTATAGGAAAGAATGTTCTGAAGAATTTCATCTTTTAGACATGGCTATGAAGAAACAACATTAGGTGCCATTTCTGTGTCATTGTAAATGTCTTTCCCATCTTCTCCTGTGCCCTGTCTTGCTTCTTTCTTTGCTTTGTCTCACGAACCCATGGCTCCTGCAGGGTGAGTCCGGGGAATGAGAAGACTCTGGAATAGCGATGGCAACACTTTGTACCTGCGTGAAAAGCCCTGGGGTAGCTCCTTACGCTGTCCAGGCAGCTTTTCGAAGATGATGGTGGTCTTGGTGGTGGTGGTGATGATCCGAGCTCATAGTGACTCACCATGTACTCTGCCCTCAGCACTGTTTGAAGCACTTAATGCACTTACTCCATGAAGTATATTATTAGCCTCGTTTTACAGGTGACAGGTGCGCAGAGAACTCACTGGCTCAAGGTCAGCGGCTCAGAAATGACCTGTGGCTCAGGAGTGACCTAGAATGTGGGCCAAAGATAACACAGAGTTGTCCTTCTTTCTGTTTTTAAGCTTCCGTATGTCAGAAATGTTATCACTCAAGTATTATCTCTCCAGGGAGAGAGAAACCACAAAAAATTCTGATCGCAGTGAAGTGTAGGAAAACTAATGCAGAACGGAATTTATCTTTGAACCCGCTTCTGGTCAAGAAAGTTAATTTCCAGACCCATTTGTTTATGTGCGTCAACCGCTCTGCCTTTTTCGGGGGGAGTAGAAATAGGAGAGGTGAGGTGTCCAGAAGGAAAAGCAAGCTGATTTTAATCCTATGAAAGTGTGCAGAGTTGGCTCATTTCAAAGACAAATCATCTAACCTTTCCAGCTACATTGGAAATTATTGTTAATGCTCTTGGTTGCTTGCCATTGTAGCTGCAACACATATTTCAGGTCAGATTTCTTTATCCCAGTAATATGTCTTTAATTCTTAACTTATGGAGGAGAATTTGGGGTGGGAGTAGGAGGAGGAGAGGAGGAAATGCAGTTCCTACGAAGCGCTGCTGACTCCAGCAATGCTTCAGCAGCGGTAATTACTCCTTCCATGTATGCTTCTCAGGAACCAGGAAAGAAAAGAACGTTCGAGCTGGTACAGAAGCAGCAACGGCAGAACACTCTGGATGTTAAATGGCTCAGTACAGTTGTTGACTCTGAAAACAGATTCAACTACGACTATTGACGCAAGAGAAAAATACCTCCAGGGCTGACAGTGGTGCTCTCCCTGCCTGTCTTGACTATGTTAGGTCAACATGGAATTCATTTTAGGCCCCAGCGGTACCGAGGGGACATAAAATCAGATGGCGTTGGGGACGCTGTGCTGAGGGAGGAAGTAGAGAAAGGGCCTGTGTGTGTGTGTCGGGGGGTGTCGCTAAAGCCTGCTCAAAAACCTGACCGTTCTTCCTCCTTCAGTATTTGTGTTGTATGTGCATGATTTGGGGTTAGTGATTTGCAGGTATTTCTGAGACTAGGCCCCTGAGGGCCTAGTTCTTTCCTTCTTTGGGGACTTTTAAGAATTAGATGGTTGTGGTTCAACCCTGTTTGAAAGCAAGACGGGATGAGTGATCTTTGGGAGGTTCGCCTGGCTCTGCGCTGCGCTTGCACAGAGGACCCGAGTGCTTGACGTGTCCAGAGCGGGGTAGAGGACCTCGGAGCAGGAGGGCCGTGACGGAGAGAATGAAGAGTTTGTTCTTGGTGGTAAGATGAGAATGGAGAAACGTTAGATCTCACTCACCTTCTTCATGTGACTGTGGAGACATGTTACTGCATTCGTGCAAATAGTTTTTAAAAATCATTTAAACCATATGACCCAGCAGTTCCATTCCAAAGTACATATGTACTCAAGAGAAATGAAAACATATGTCGACACAAAAACTTGTCCACAAATGTTCATAGCAGCATTATTCATAATAGTCAAAAACTGGAAACAACTCAGATGTCCATCAGCTGATGAATAAATAAAATGTGGTATACGCATACATTGGAATATCATTCAGCAATAAAAATGAGGTACTGATACATGCTACAACATGGATGAACCTTGAAAATGTTTTGCTAAGAGAAGGAGGACAGACACAAAAGACCATATATTGTATGATTCAATTTATATGAAATGTCCAGAATGGACAGATTTACAGAGCTAGAAAGTAAATTAGTGGTTGCTTTGGGCTGAAGGGTGAAAGGGAGAAATGGGAGTTGACTGCTAATAAGTACAGGGTTTCTTTCGGGGGGACTGAAACGTTCTAAAATTGAATTGTGGCGATGGTCCCATAATTGAATATGAACATACTAAATAACCATTGGTAAGTGTGTGTCTACTAAAACCCATTGAATTGTACTTTAAATGGGTGAATTTTATGGTATGTGAATTTTCTCTCAGGAAAGCTGTTTTAAAAAATAATAATTTGACCTGCCAATATTCTAATTACCCCGTAACGTTTACCACAGCCATGTTCACTTCTTTACCAGCATTGCTTTCTCTTTCAACCTAAACTCACCTAACTCTTTCTGTTATTCTCACTGGGTGACTTGATTTCTATAGATATACTATGATATGGTTTGTGCTAAAAAAAACAGTTGATCCCAGTTTCGGTGTAGTGGTGGGAGGGCCAGAGGCACGTCTATACCGAATGTTAAAGGGAAATATTTTCCAAAATGAAATGATAAATGTTGTTGCTTATAAATTAGCAAAAAGAATGCCACCCAGTCTCCAAGCCATAGTTGGATGACAGCTATAGTTGTTTTTCATGATGTCCTCCTTAAATGTGAGGGAATTACTAAACCAACCCTATTTCCCCTCGGCTTGTTGGTGCGTGATCAGCAGGAAGACCTATTATAAATCATGTCTCCCTAACATTTTACTAAATTCCTACCTCCCAGGCACCTTAACGTCGTTCTTCAGCTGGGAGAGGCTGCTCCTGTTTCTTTGTGGAGGAGGTGACCGAGCCTTAACTGGATGTAATAACCACAGCAGGTTGACAGGATTTGGGGAAGCAGTTACTCTTAAGGTAGATAAATAGTTTTATAGACTAGCAGAAAATTTGTATCAGAAACCCACTTGTTGCAATAATGTATACAAAGCCCTGTTTTGCCACTGGCTTTCCTGCTGGGGTCTCATCAGGACAGCACAGACCTATAGTTGTATTTTTCATCTGAGACCGCACCTCTCATTTGTAATCATTGGTTTTGGACACAACAGCCTCAGAAGGGAACAGGAAACTGGAAAAAGACTCCCTGGCTACAGAGAGCAGAAGAGGGTAAACAGCCCTGAGATATCAGCTTTGTCTTTTCGAATAAGCAGGCAAGTGTCATGGGTCTCATCCTTTAAAAACCAGGTCCTCGTGCTCTTTGACTTAAAAGGAAAATGCACCCTTACCCCCACCTGCTGCCAGATTTTGGTCCCTCGGGGTGTTTCCTGATTTCTGAGACGGGTTATAGCACCACCACCGGCTTGTTTATAGTAACATACTTTCATTAGTTGCTAGAATGGCAATAATTTTGTTTCCTATCATCTAATTTTTACTGTGACCTGCTTTTATGTGGCGATGGGTCTTTTCTATTTCCAACCTAATTGCTTGCTCATTAGGAAAAGGGCAAGCTGAGGATAAGCCCCTGGTTAGCATTACACGTGTGTATGCAGGCAGAGCTCCTTTCATTGCGTTTGGCTTTATTGCGCTTCATCGATATTGCTCTTTTTTTTTTTTTTTTTAACAAATTGAAGGCAAGACACTCTCGCAGCAAAAAGGTTACCACTCGCTTTATTACGGTAGTCTGGAACCAAACCCGCAGGATCTCCGAGGTATGCCCGCAAAAGATATGGGCGTTTAGATTTATGCATTTGTTTTGACATAAAGGAGTGACTGTTAACGGGCATGCCAGTGACCGGCTGCAGGGGTGGAGTGAGGATGTGGAGGCTTCACTGTCATGGGAAGGGGGCCAGATTTAATAACTTTACTGCCGGAAAGCTCAGAACCCTCTTACTTTATGCATTTGCTTATTCCCTGCCTCATTCCAAAAGAGGATTTGGGATGGGCTTACAACAACAGACGCACCAGCAGTGTAAGCAGAAATGCACAGTGAGGAGAAAAGAAAAAGAAGAGTGTAGTTTGTTAGCCATATGGGTGAATGTGGTCGGTATGACTGGCCTTGAAATTTGGCTCCAAGCTTCTTGGCAGGCAGGGCCAAATGGGATGTGTGGTTAATCACACATGTGGCTCCAAGTCAGTTGTACTTTGTACCTTCTCTGAGGACTGTGGCATAAAGCCGTCCCTTTCCTGGTTCTTTTTGAGGGCAGGAAGCATCACAACTGGGGGAAAGAGAGAAGTGAACACGTCTAAAATGCTAACTGTTCTGCTTGCCTCTGAACAGCTCCTCACTCCGCAGATGACAGTCACAGCTACGATGGGGGAGAAGTGCTCGCTGTGGGCCAGCCACCTGCCCCGCACCTGTCTGCCTCTCATCAGCCCTGAAGGGGGGGAGGCTTGAGGGTTTGCACAGTGGGCCCGGGTCATGTAGCTGCCCTGAGCCGGGTCCGTTGGACTCAGTCCAGGCTATCCAGTCCACTTCCCTTTTACTTGTAGCTCTTACCTTGTGCAGTCTCAGTTGGCTCTACGTGTTGAGTGAGCCAGCGGATCTCCTACCCCGGGTTCGGGTTCACGCGTAGGCCTGTGATCGCTTTTTCCAGTGCTCGGAGTTCCTTTTCATTCCCTTCTTCATTCCCTCCCTGTGGCTTTGGGGCAGTGTGAAGGTTGGTCTGTGTGTG